AGAAAGGCTGCAATAACCCCTTTACTTCCTCCTCCCTCTGGGTATGACCTGTAATGTATCTAGAGGAGGGTCTCCAAAACTTTTTAGAAAAGGTCCAGTTTACTGTTTTTAAGGTTTTGGGTGGGCCAGACTGTGGCCAGTGGAAGCAAGCAATGCCCCATCACTGTTTTCAATGAGAGGAATAGTGCCCATCATTGGTTTTGATGGGAGGAATAGTGCCCCTTCATTGGTTTTGATGGGAGGAATAGTACCCCATCATTGATTTTGATGGGAGGAATAGTGCCCCATCAATGGTTTTGATGGGAGAAGTTTTGCCCCATCATTGATTTTGATGGGAGGGATAGTGCCCCGTCATTGGTTTTGATGGGAGGAATAGTGCCCCATCATTGGTTTTGATGGGAGGAGTTGTGCCCCATCAGTGATTTTGATGGGAGGGATAGTGCCCCATCATTGGTTTTGATGGGAGGAATAGTGCCCCATCATTGGTTTTGATGGGAGGAGTTGTGCCCCATCAGTGATTTTTGATGGGAGGGATAGTGCCCCATCATTGGTTTTGATGAGAGGAATAATGCCCATCATTGGTTTTGATGGGAGGAATAGTGCCCCTTCATTGGTTTTGATGGGAGGAATAGTGTCCCATCATTGGTTTTGATAGGAGGAATAGTGCCCCTTCATTGGTTTTGATGGGAGGAATAGTACCCCATCATTGATTTTGATGGGAGGAATAGTGCCCCATCAATGGTTTTGATGGGAGGAGTTTTGCCCCATCATTGATTTTGATGGGAGGGATAGTGCCCCGTCATTGGTTTTGATGGGAGGAATAGTGCCCCATCATTGGTTTTGATGGGAGGAGTTGTGCCCCATCAGTGATTTTGATGGGAGGGATAGTGCCCCATCATTGGTTTTGATGGGAGGAATAGTGCCCCATCATTGGTTTTGATGGGAGGAGTTGTGCCCCATCAGTGATTTTGATGGGAGGGATAGTGCCCCATCATTGGTTTTGATGAGAGGAATAATGCCCATCATTGGTTTTGATGGGAGGAATAGTGCCCCTTCATTGGTTTTGATGGGAGGAATAGTGTCCCATCATTGGTTTTGATAGAAGGAATAGTGCCCCATCATTGGTTTTGATGGGAGGAATAGTGCCCCATCATTGGTTTTGATGGGAGGAATAGTGCCCATCATTGGTTTTTGATGAAGAATAGTGCCCCATTAGTGCTGTCAACAAGAGGAATGGTGTCCCATCATTGGTGTCAGTCGGAGGAGTAGTGCCAAAAGGGCCAGATATATGCAAGCAAATGGCTGCATCCAACCCATGGGCAACAGTTTGAAGACAACTGATTTAAAGTACCATTAGCAAGCTCCATGTACTGGCATGCTTCTTCGTTTCCAAAAAAAAAGTGACAAATATTGAGATCACCTTGGGGTGTCTGCTTTCCAAAAAAGCTAATTTGGGGGTTTTTCTTTATTGCCCTAGTATTTCTATTTTAACAGAAAGTAAGAAAAACTTTTTTTTTTAACAAAATGTATCTTCCTTTTTTTTTTGTTTCTGCCGAAAAAGTTGTTAAAACTGACCAAGAGTAAGCTCTATCTGTCTCGAAAAAACAATATAAAATTTATTTGGGTACAGCGTTTATTTTCCAAGACCGAGTGATTATCAGTCAAAATATCACAGTGCTGAAAACTGAACAGTTTATACAGGACGGTACTCAACTGCCTAAAGTATAACTATAGGTAAAAGAGTTTCTTACTTTTTGATAGAGTGGAGAGGGATTAGAGCACCTGTCAGGTTTTTATTAGGGTTGCACAGATACTGGTGTTGATGCCAATACTAAGTATCAGTACTCGTGTGAATGCCCTGACACCTGAAACAGATACCTGGGTTCACACCAATGCGGTGCGGGAAAACGTTGAAAATCCTGTGCGTTTCCCACACTGCATTGCAATCGCATCATGTTCATGCTATCTGGTGTGGGTGTCAGTAATAAAGTAATGACACCCCAAAACAGATCGAAAAATGCGATGCGATTGCCAGAAATCATCGCATGGGCGAGAACACCCATACGATGAGATTTACGTGTGGATTTTAAAAAAGAGTCCTGCACCTTTTTGGTGTGGATTTGATGTGATTTGAGCCATACAAAGTATATGGCTCAAATCGTACTGCGCAGACATTTGCATGTCATTTGCACAGGAATGCGGTGCGATTCCTGTTCGAATTACACTACACAGCATAGTGTAAACCCAGTCTCAGGCTTGGTTCTTTCAGCTGTCAGTGGGATTCCCCCACTGAGACCTGAAATGTAAAAAAAAAAGCCAACAACAACAAAAGAAAGCTGGCAATTACCAGTTGCTAAGAAGTGGTGCCGCCGCGTCCTTAACAACCAATGACTCATGCAGCTGCCAGTGGGGTTCCCCTGCTGACAGCTGAAGTGTAAATAAAAGAAATGTTCAGGCAATTGGAGCTGTCAAAAAAAAACCCCAAAAAACAAAAAAAAAGCCTGACAATGTTTATCAACAGCATTGCTCAGCCTAAAATAGGAAGCTAAAAAGAAACATTGTTTTGTTTTGTATCTTTCTGTTTATTCATCTACTTAATGAGGACTTAATTTACTCTGCTCAGCCCTAATTAACTCCTTATTTTCCTTCTTCTTTTAATTATTTTCCTGCTGATTTTTTTTTTGTTCATTTCTATTTTATAAACTATTAATATTAATTAAACCTTTTTTTTGTTTTTGTTGGCTTTGTTCATTAATATTTTTTACACTTTTACTATATATTTACACGTTTCACATTGCAAAAAGCACAACATTTTTTTTTAAAAATGTATTTAATTTGTAAATAACTTTTCAATGCTTTGTACCAGAATAATTATTTTTGGTGTCATTTTAATCAGGACACATTACAGAATAAAATTCACACTTTTTTATGTGCAGTAACACTATTTATTTTTAAACTAACACTGCTCAAAAACAAGAAAAAGTGCATGTTTATCTTTAGTTTTGTTATATTTAAATATCTAAGGGTTGTGAAAAAAATATCATTGTTTTAAGACAATATTCACAAAAAAAGGCTTTGTTTTGCCCTTAAAAATATATGTATGATGTTGTTATGTTATGACAAAGTTATCACCGAATAAACAGGTCCACAGTAGAAAAATATTGCTCTGGTCCATAAGCCACACTAGTGCGGCTACTTCAACTCGATTTCAAAACTGCAGCTCAGTGTTATTTGGACGTTCGATTTTATTGTGCCTTGCAACAGAAGTCAATGGAAGCTGCTATGAAATCGCAGAAAAGTAGTGCAGGAACTTGAGGTGCGACAATTTGAACGGTTCCATTGCCACAAATGGGGTGTGACTGGTCATGCGATTTTGAACTGTCAAATTGCATGGCAAATCGCATCGGTGTGAACCAGGGCTAAGGGGAGAACAGGTGTGAGAGCCGAAGTGGTTAAGGAGTGGGGCCCCTGTCCTTAACAACCAATGAGTTATTCAGCTGTCAGTGGGTTCCCCTGCTGACAGCTGAAGTGTAAAGAAATGTTCTGGCAATTGGAGCTGTCAAAAAAAAAAGCCTGACAATGTTTATCAACAACATTGCTCAGCCTAAAACAGAAAGATAAAAAAGAAATATTGTTTCATTTTGAATCTTTCTGTTTATTCATTTACAGATCAAAGAGAAGAACTTCATCTGCAGATAAAGTCAGTTAAAAGCAACCTGATAAGTAAAAAAAAAGTGTTTTTTTTTTTTTAATTTAAATTAAATTTTCCTCTGTTTAGCCCCTGAACCCTTAATTTACTCTATTCAGTCCTAATTAACTCCTTATTCTTCTTTTCCATTTAATTATTATTTTTCTGCTGGATTTTTTTTTTTGTTAATTTCCATTTTATAAACGATTAATATTAACCACTTGCCTACCGGACACTTATACCTCCTTCCTGCCCAGGCCAATTTTCAGCTTTCAGCGCTATCACACTTTGAATAACAATTGCGCGGTCATACAACACTGTATCTATATGACATTTCAATTATTTTTTTCCACACAAATAGAGCTTTCTTTTAGTGGTATTTAATCACCACTCGGTGTTTTATTTTTTGCGCTATAAACATAAAAACGAGCAAAAAAAAAAAGTTTTTCTTTGTTTATATTATAAAATTTTGCAAGCAGCTAAATTTTTTCTCCTTTGCTGATGTGCATGATGAGCTGTGTCATCGGACACAGCTGATCACATGGTAAAAGGCCGCTGTGATTGACCGTTTACCGTATCACGTGATCAGCTGTGTCCGTAGGGGGTGCACAGGAGGTGTGTTCTGGGAGGACTTCCATGGACGTCCTCCCAGAACTAGACAACCACGCGGTAGCTGTCTATCGGCTATAGCGTGGTAGGGAAGAGGTTAATTAGAACTTTTTTTTGTTCATTTCTATTTTATAAACTATACTATTAATTAGAACCTTTTTTTTTATCATTTCTATTTTTTATAAACTATTAATATTAACCACTTGCCTACCAGGCACTTATACCCCCTTATTTACCAGGCCAATTTTCAGCTTTCAGCGCTGCCGCACTTTGATTGACAATTGCGCGGTCATGCAACATTGTACCCATATGAAATTTTGATCGTTTTTTTCTCACAAATAGAGCTTTCTTTTGGTTGTATTTAATCGCCACTGGGCGCTTTACTTTTTGCGCTATAAATAAAAAAAGTGCAAAAAATTTGAAAAAAAACACAAAACAAAACGTTTCTTTTGTTTCTATTATAAAATTTTTCAAACAGGTATTTTTTCTCCTTCACTGATGTACGTTGATGAGGCAGCACTGATGGGCACTGATAGGTGGCACTGATGGGCACTGATAGGCAGCACTAAAGGGCACTGACAGGCAGTACTAATGAGGTGGCACGGATAGGCGGCACTGATAGACAGCACTAATGAGGTGTCACCGATAGGCGGCACTAATATGCAGCAGCACTGATAGGTGACACTGATGATGGGTACTGATAGACGGCACTGACTGGCATCACTGCTGGGCACTGACTGGCGGCACTGACTGGCACAACCCCTGGGCACTGACTGGTGGCACTGACTGGCAGCACTGCTGGGCTGCACTGGTGGATGGAACTGGTGGGGCAGCACTGGTGGGTGGGCACAGGTGCGTGGCACTGGTGGGCACAGGTGGGTGGCACTGGTGGGCACAGGTGGGTGGGCACCGGTGGATGGCACTGCTGGGCACAGGTAGGTGGCACTTCTGGGCACAGGTGTGTGACACTGCAGAGTGGCACAGGTGGGTGCACTGCTGGGCACAGGTGGGTGCACTGCTGGGCACAGGTGGGTGATCTGCTGGGCACAGGTGGGCGGAGCTAGTGGGAGCACTGCTGGGCACAGGTGGGCGGAACTTGCGGGTGGCACTGCTGGGCACCGATCATCAGGGCACTGATCATCAGTGCTCTGATGATCGGTGCCGATCCCCGCTCTGACAACTGCCGGTTCTCGGCAGTACTTTCCTCACGATCTGACAGCGTGAGGAAAGTGCAGCCGAGAACCGGCACTTGCATTTCCCTCTGATCAGCGTGTCATTGGACACCGCTGATCACGTGGTAAAAGGCCGCTGTGATCTGCCTTTTACCACATCACGTGATCAGCTGTGTCCGTAGGACGCAGCGATCACGGAGATCGCCTGGTGCGCGCCCCCTGGGGCGCGCAGGAGAGCGCGTTCTGGGAGGCCGTCATATGACGTCCACCCAGAACTGGCCGGCCGCAGTGCAGCCGTCATTCGGCTATCTGCGGTCGGCAACTAGTTAATTAGAACTTTTTTTTTTTTGTTCATTTCTATTCTATAAACTAATAATTTTAATTAGAACAATTAGAACTTTTTTTTTGTTCATTTCTATTTTATAAACTATTACTATTAATTAGAACTTTTTTTTTTTTTGGATTATTTCTATTTTATAAACTATGAATATTAATTAGAACTTTTTTTGTTCATTTCTATTTTATAAACTATGCTATTAATTAGAACTTTTTTTTTTATCATTTCTATTTTTTAAACTATTAATAATAATTAGAACTTTTTTTGTTCATTTCTATTCTATAAACTAATAATTTTAATTAGAACAATTAGAACTTTTTTTTGTTCATTTTTTCTATTTTATATAAACTATGACTATTAATTAGAACTTATTTTTTTGGGATTATTTCTATTTTATAAACTATGAATATTAATTAGAACTTTTTTTGTTCATTTCTATTTTTATATACTATTAATATTAATTAGACCTTTTTTTTTTGTTCATTTCTATTTTATAAATATAATAAAATTATTTATAAATATATTATAAATATAATATTTTATAAATATAATAATATTAATTAGAACTTGTTTGTTTGTTTCTGTTGGCTTTGTTAGTTATTATTTTTACACCTTTAACATATATTTGCACATGTAACATTGCAAAAAGTGCAAAATTGAAAAAAAAAAAGGAATTTCATTTGTAAATAACTTTTTCAATGCTTTGTACCAGAATCATAATTTTAGTGTCATTGTAAACAGGACAAATTACAGAATAAAATGCACACTTTTTTATGTGCAGTAACACTATTTATTTTTAAACTAACACTGCTCAAAACAGGAAAAGGTGCATTTTTTGTTTTGTTATATTTAATTGTCTAAGGATTGTGAAAAAAAATATTGTTTGAAGACAATGAGAGCGATCACCGAAACTGAAAGAGTGTTGGGTTGTCCCCAGAACAAGAATAGAGGGGAAATCTTCCAATGTGGACACTAGTTCCAGGGATTCCCTAACTTTGGAGGCATTTCCTCTCACTTCCTGTTTTAGTTATGGGACAGGAAATGAAGGGAAATCTCCCCAATTGGTCACAGATAGAAAAAAAATGAGAAGGGTTATAACACTCCTTTACTTTGATCCCCAAGGAAGAGTCATGTTCCTTGATAGAAAAATGAAGCTTTCATTGCCAGATTTGGATAGAATAAGGGGTGAGGGGGTTATAACCTTTGTCTGGTTTTTTTTTTGCCATCTGTGTCCTGTTTCCACTCATGTCCTGTCCGGTATCCAAAACAGGAAGTGAAAGGAAAAGTGATGGAATTCTCTGGTTGTCACCAGAATTTGTGTCCCCGTTTGGCATTTCCTGGTGGTGTGTATGCCTTGGTGCTTTAAGCACCACATTGAGGGTAGGAGGGGCCATGACTACCTGTATTCTAGGTTGTCACAGCCTAGAAAACTGAGGGCATCTAGTGGTGGAGAAGGGGTACTGCTAATGACAGCTTCAGAAAGGATATCAATTTTTATTTTTTCATTTACTTTTTTATGTAGATTGGGGGATACTAAAATAAAAAAAAAAAAAATAAAAAAAGTTTATCTTTATCTCTCTTTATATATATTTTTAATTATTATTTTATTTTTTTAATATATCTATATATAGATATGTAATTTATATATATAGATAGATGGTATCTATCCCCAGCCCCCACTATGGCATTTCAGCAGAACAGAGGGCTGAAAACACTCGTGTCATGTGGGAAAGAAGAATCCGCACATGCGCAGAGCGCCCTTAGAGCCGTAAGGAGGTGGCCCGGCATTTCTACGTGGTTTCCATGGACATTCCCGACGCGCGGACGGTGACGCATTACTAAACGCGCCAGAAGCGGAAGCAGCTCCCCGTCGCGCAACGGTGACGTGTTAGGCTCAGACTCCACGTCACAACAACACAGCGAGGAACCGGAGAGATGGCGGAGAGCGAGGAGAGCCGGGAGGAGAGCGGGACGCGGCTGGTGAGAGCTCTGGACACGGTATAGACCTTGTATGTCATGTGACCCTCGCCTGTGCTGCGTGACAGCTGTGCAGGCGCCATTAAAGGGACCCTGTCATCTATTCCAGGACACTAACACCTAGACTATGTAGCTGGTCGGAATAGCTGACTCTTCTGGGGGTCATGTGGTCCCGCCTGGGACGGGGCTCAGGTCCTGGCAGGCCTGTGTGTGGTCACATGACCAGGGGGTGACGTCATCACATCTTCAGATAGCTGGTAGAGGAGGGGGGAGGTGTGTCTTGGGGGGGGACCCCTGCTTGCACAGGTGACTCTGCATCCCATGCATGCGCAGCTGTGGCATCACTCTGCCAAATACTGGAACTAGCAGAGATCCGGCAGCTTGTCTGGCCACCCACCTCATCCCTTTGGCTACGTCTCTGTTATGCAACACCATCTAGCCCGGAATAGGTCCTCATAAATGCAACACCCCTGGGCTGGGATATATCCCCATGCATGCAATACCCCTCTTCCAGGGTACATTCCCATGCATGACCAACTGGCCCGGGGTACATCCCCATACATGCTACACCTCTGTTCCGGGGTATGTCCCCATGCATGCAGCAGCACCTGCTCTAGGGTACGTCCCCATACATGCAACACCTCTGTTCCGGGGTATGTCCCCATGCATGCAGCAGCACCTGCTCTAGGGTATGTCCCCATACATGCAACACCTCTGTTCCGGGGTATGTCCCCATGCATGCAGCAGCACCTGCTCTAGGGTACGTCCCCATACATGCAACACCTCTGTTTACTGGGGAATGTCCCCATGAATACATCAGCACCTGCTCTGGGGTATGTCCCCATACATGCAACACCTCTGTTTACTGGGGAATGTCCCCATGAATACATCAGCACCTGCTCTGGGGTATGTCCCCATACATGCAACATCTCTGTTCCAGGGTATGTCCCCATGCATACAATTCCCCTGTTTCGGGGTATGTCCCCATGCACGCAACACCACCTGGCATGGGGTACATCCCCATGCATTCAAAACTCCTGTTGCGGGGTACGTCCACATGCATAAAACACCCCTGTTCCAAGGTACGCCCCCCCCCCCATATGCATGCAACACCAACTGTCCTGAGATGCTTCTCCCCCATCTATGCAACACAGAATGGCCAGAGATGCACTCACATACATGTTCAGTAGACTGGCCCAGTGTATGAACCTGTTCTTGCACTATAAGCTGGCCTGGGCCAGTTATAACTTTACATGAGCCTCTTGCAAGCCAATGCTTAGCAGCACTCTTGACTGCAGAGAGAGGGGCAACAATGGGAGCCAATCAGTTTGTGCTGCGTGCAAAAGAACATGCTGATAGGAGGAAAGAACAGAGGGATGACCTCACCAGAATGTTACTTCTCCTTCACTGCCCAGTCAGTGGCTGCAGGCAGCAAGGTGACCCTAACTGCAGCAGTAAAAAGTCAGCTGTGTAAACCCCAGGACTGGCCGGACAGATCTACAAATCCTTTGGCTGCTATAGCAACTCCCCTCAGAGCTGCTTTTAGCTGTCTGATTGGAGTTCAGCTTTATTATAAAATGTGCTGCCAGAATATACCTTGTCATTCAGGTCTTGTGAGCTGGGAATAATGACCGTGTGTTCTCCTTCAGTTTGCAGGATTGTCTGATGTCTCTATATCCGGAGATATTCCCGTGGAGGGAGAGATCACCGTGCCGATGGCCTCTCAATCACAGGACGACGATTTCTCCACATTGGATGAGCCCGTCAAAGACACCATTGTACGTGAGGCAACTGAACCAAAAAAAAAAAAATAACAACATAGCGACTCATTAACACGTTTAACTCTTTCAAGGTCAAACCCATTTTATTTATATGAATGAAAGGTGCGACCTCCTGCGCTTCTGCCTACTAACTATAAAAAAGGAACTAAACTAAGTGCAGCTGCCAACATCCAATCATATACCCATAGATCTGTACAGCAAATGTAATATAAAGTGATGTAGCGCTTACACAAAATAAATACTGTATAAACAATAAATATTGTGCATATACAGTGACCCCCCGCACACTCAGGTGACCGGCAATCAAAAAGTGAAAAATAAATGAATATAAGTGGAGTCCATGGGCTGTGAAGCTACATGAATATATAGATCACACAAGAGATTAAGGCGATAAAGTGAAAAAAAGTGAACAAACAACTTAAATAAGGATGATGAATCGAAATCTAGTGATCACACTAATTCCCTCCAATTGATCTGTATGAGATCAAAAAAAACTATATTTGTGCTCTAAAAAAAAAGTGAAATACTATAATAAACGCATGTGTACATATACACTCAAATAATCAAAAATAAAAACAAAAGTGAACAATACATAAACACATATACTGCTGCATGCGTATTGGTGAAAAAATGATATTCCAATGTGTATATATAATAAAACACTCCCTTCAAATTCCCCACATAATTCAAATCCATAAAAATATTTTAAAGTCCAAAAAAATGGTGTTTTCCAAAACACTTAATCTTCCAACAAACAACCCGTGTTCAAGTGAATGATCACACGTATCCATAAGCGGCTGAATTAAGCGCTCACCTCAATGCTTCGACCTGCTAAGGGTCAAAACGCATTTGAATCACTCACTAGGATCCTCCATGCAAGAGACTCCTTCTGGGATAACGACCCCTCTCTCCACAGCAATATCCCTTCACGAACAGGTATTATGGCAAAAAAACACTCTCCAGGTAGGATATGGCCAATAATCTCATCAAAAAAACACAAAAAAACTCCCATAGTGTAATACTGCTTTACTGATGAGAGAATATTACCCCAAACACTTCATAAAATGCACTCACATGTTCATATCCTTGTGCAAAGCATTCATATTGGTAAACCTCATGTTTCAGGGGTGTACTACATGGGTGTAGCAAGATGGCGTCTTAAAACCGGAAGTACGTCACTGCGCTGCCGCCTTGTTGCGTCACATTGTCACGTGAAGGGCCCTGAAGAAGAAGGGGGGGGGGCGCTTTTTTATCACTTTTTATTGCTGTCGCAAAGAATGTAAACATCCCCTGTGACAGCAATAGGCCTGTGACATGTACTCTTTATGGAGGGATCTGACCCCAAATCCCCCCTCTGTCCTTATAAGGATCCAATCACACCAAGACTGGAGTGATTGAATTCTTTTAATTATTAAAAAAGGCGATGTGTATTTCTGAGTAAACTGGAAGTGATGTCAGGTCATCACTTCCGGGGGTACTATTTAAACCATTCTGGTCTTTGTTCGGCTCTGTGACCAGCCAGCAGTAGTTCCGGTGGGACAGTAGATCCCTTTTAAAGCCACGGAAGTCGGCAGGAGCGGAGAACATCCCCTCGTGCTGCTTGTAATAGCAGTCAAGTGTCTAGTTAGCTGCTCTGATTGCTATTACAACAGCTGACTGTTGGCTCTAAAAAACGATACCGCTTATACAACTTGAAAAAGAAATCCATTGGTTGTTTTTAGTTTGCCCTTTCTAGTATTTCCGATCTGATAGTCTCTGTTCACCGGCACATACATATTTTGATCTCTTTTCTTTTTAAGATGCGGGACCTGAAAGCTGTGGGGAACAAGTTTTTCCATGTTATGTACCCTAAAAAGAGCACAGCCCTTCTCAGAGACTGTGAGTATACTGGAACAGTATGTGGAATCAAAGGGAGGTTTTTAGTTGATTCACTCTGGGGTTGATTTACTAAAATAGATGCATTCAAAATCTGGTGCAGCTGTGCATGGTAGCCAATCAGCTTCTAACTTCACCTTGCTCAATTAAGCTTTGACCATAAAACCTGGAAGCTGATTGGTTTCTATGCAGAGCTGCACCATATTCTGCATTCTCCAGATTTAGCAAATAACCCCTTATGAATAGTAGTGTCTGAAAACGAAATATTGGTCCTCCCATTAGTGTGATCTGTAGACCCTCAGTCCTATGGGTGTTGTTTAGTCGAGAACACCGAGAACATCTAGTGACGAAAAGAAAATACTACTGAGACCGCATCAAAAGGCATGCCAGAGCTATAATTTGTTGTCGTTTTAAATGCCTGTTATTTTTATTTATTTCAGGTACTTATATAGCGCCGTCAATTTACGCAGCGCATTACATATATATTGTACATTCAATTCAGTCCCTAACCATCAAGGGGCATACAATCTAAGGTCCCTAACTCACATTCATACATATACATACTAGGGACAATTTATACGGGAGCCAATTAACCTACCAGCATGTCTTTGGAGTGTGGGAGGAAACCGGAGTACCCGGAGGAAACCCACGCAGGCACAGGGAGAACACGCAAACTCCAGGCAGGTGGTGCCGTGGTTGGGATTCGAACCGGCAACCCTAGTACAAATTAAGAATTGGCCCAGAGTTCCAGTTTTACTTTAATGTTTAACCACTTGCTTCCTAGGCCTGTTCTGTCATTTATCTCCTAAATGTAAAATGTATCTTTTTTTTTTTTTTTTTCTAGAAAATTACTTGGAACCCCCAAACATTTATGTATTTTTTAAGCAAAGGCCCTAGAGAATAAAATGATGGGTGTTGCGATTTTTTTTTTTTTTTTGTCACATGGTATTTTCACAGTGCAATTTAGAAAAAAAAAAAATACACAATGAATTTTAGTGAAAACAATATAATACCAATTTTTTTTTGTTAATATATAAAAGATGATGTTACACTGAGCAAATAGAAACCAAATATGTCATGCTTTAAAATTCTCATGGAATGGTGACAAACTACGTTGCTTTAACCTCCCTGGCGGTAAACCCAAGTGTGGCTCGGGGTTAATTTTCAGTACCAAAAGCGGTAACCCCGAGCCACACTCAGGATTACACTGTAGTGTAATTTACCTTGTCCCTGCGATTCCTCCAATGTCCTCCCACTGTGTCCTCCAGATGATGCTGGCATCCGTCTTCCGAGCACCGCGACCAAACCATTTCACCTTCGTTTTGTCCTTACTGCTTTATCCAGTGCCCTGCCTGCACTTTTACCTTTCTTTCTGCCTGGAAACTTGAGAATGTCCATGGCATCCAAAAAGCATCCCTTTTTAGGTCAAAAGTTGTTTTTGGTTTGATTACATTATTGAATTTAATTTATTATAATAATTTGTATAATTATTTTATATTATAATTTATGATTTCATGTTTCAAACTTTATCATACCTGGGATGTTTGCTAGATTAGACAGATTTAAGTGAGTTATTCCTAAGAATTATTAACAACAAATTTCCATGGAAAACAATGTACCGCTTTGACATTCAAAAATATTGACATAATCAGACCACCAGAGAGGTTAAATTATCCATAGGTGATGCTTTAAAAGCCTTTACAGGTTTTTTGCCTACAAGCCTTTCGCAATGATACCTCATGTGTGTGGTGCGATCACTGTTCACATATGATCCCCCATCTCTCCTTGGACTCCAATGCAGCCAATCAGACACAGATAGGTCTGATCGGCTGCTTCACTGGCTGGTCCGGCCAGAAAACAAGAGCTGAACCACCAGAAGTGATTAAATAATAGTTGCTTCTGGGTTCTGACATCGCACAGTTCCCCCACCTGTAATCCAGTGGCTGCTTAGCTGCTCAAATTACGTTTACATGAGAGAGAATCACTGGGGCTAAAAAATTATCCCAAGATCATGGTTGTAGCTTCAACCATGATCTTAGTATAACCACTTCCCTACCAGGCTGTGTATATAGACGTGTCAGTAGGGAAGCGGTTAGCACATTTTGAAGGGTTTTCTGGCTTTTCATAAATTGGCCCTGGGTTGGGTGTTTGTGAGTGTAGATTTGAGTTGGAGGTCACAGCTAATATCTATGTTTGTGTTTAATGTGGTGTACATTCTTCTCTTTCAGGGGATCTTTGGGGCCCTCTTGTGCTCTGTGTCTCACTTGCATTGTAAGTACTTTAATTATTTTCCCCAAATGTATGAGTGTGACTAGTTTTAGCTCTCTTTGTGCTTTTTTTTATTTTTTATTGTTTATAGGATTTTTTTCACTAATATTGGAATGCTAGATAAATTTATTTAGTGAAAGTAAGACAATGTTTGTATGTTTATCTGCAAATATTAAAGTCCAACTTTGGACACAAGAAAAGAAATACCTTTGCAGTGCTGCCCACCCTATACTGCAAGGGTTAAATGCTCATTAAAGCGGAATTCCGGTGAAAATAAAAAAATAAATAAAAGTCAACAGCTACAAAAACTGTAGCTGCTGACTTTAAAAAAAAAAAAACGGTCACTTACCTGTCCCTCGATCCCGCTGAGCATTTGGATCCATTAAACGGGTCTGCCCCGTGTGTAAGGAACCTTAAGCTTTGACAACAAAGACTGGAAGCTGATTGGCTGCCATGCACAGCTGCACGAGATTTTACTTTCTCCATTTTTAGTAAATAACCCCCATAGTTTTACATTGTGGGACCAGCCAGAGCTTGCTGCATCAGGGAGAAGAAAAGAGCTCTGAAGCCTGTTGGAACAAGGTACATGGTAAGTAATACAGTCTCATCCTCTATCCCTTGCGTAAACAAGCCTTTAACCCTTGCAGTGCACTGGATAGGGTGTTTTTTCTTTGTCCCATATCCCGAAGTTGGACTTTAAGGTATAACTCCAGCTATACTAAATTAAAATTTAAATTAGTTGACCAAAATCTGTAAGAATTAAATATGTAGCTTGTGTCAAAATATTCTTTCCCCCTAGCACTGTCCTCTGCGGACACTCCACTCCAGCCTCTCGCTACTGCCCGTCTTCCAAGTTGCATGACACCCAGCATTATACAATCCACTTCTGTAATGCTAGGCTGTCATGGACACGCCATTTGGGCTCAGCATCATTCCTTAGCCTAGGCTTCCAGCAGACTGCTGCACTTTGCAAGTATTGTTTTATGCAGCATTGAGGACAGCCACTTACACCAAAGAAGAAGATCGGATTCTGCCGATCATGTGACCGGCTGGAAGAAATGTCAATGGAAGGTAAGTATGCTTGAACATTTTTTAGGTTTTGTGTGTGTTGGGTAGAAGTTGAGGAGAAGAGGGGGGGATGGTTCACATACGCCAACCTAAGTCAGTTATCAGACTGGTAAGCTGTTTTTCTTCTTCCATAAGAATGCTACAAGGTGGTTACGCCAACAGCAAAGACGATGGAGGACCCCAGTTTGCTGAAGTCTTTGTAATCATCTGGTTTGGAGCTGTGGTCATCACACTGAATTCCAAGCTTCTGGGGGGAACCATGTAAGACTTCCTGCTTATTAATCATGAAAAGGATATTACTGATACACTGTGTACATGACAACATCCATCTGTAAAACCATTCCTGTTTTGGGGATCGTCTTATTGGTGCCCATCTAGTGCACCTGTTTGTTAATTTCATTAATACCAAAGCAACTGAAACTGATTAACAACCCCCTCTGCGACTTATCTGACCAGACCAATATCCCAGGAGTTTCACTGACTTGATGCTAGACTCTGATTAAAAAGTGTTATTTTAAATTTTTTGAGCAGTGTGTGTGTCTCTCTCTGTCTCTCTCTCTCTGTCTCTCTCTCTGTCTCTCTCTCTGTCTCTCTCTCTATATATATATATCTCATGTATGTATAAACGTGCAGAAACTTTTAGAAGACCCCTCCTATATTTCAAACTTAAAGCCCTAATAAACTGTTACTTTAAAAGTTCTACATAAATTTGAAGTCTATCTAAAGCAGCTACTGCTTGAGTAGAAAAGCCTGTCACGTGCCAGCATGCTGCAGAGAAGGCTCATGCTTTCAGTGTGGAAGCAGTAATCTACCATTCTGATTTAAACCTATAGCTCTGCAATTAGCAAAAGCTCAAACTCACTGCTGATCTGGAGAAAGTGAACTCTGGCTTAGCAGGGTGCATCTCATACCGCTGCAGAGAGACCACTGCTTCTTTGCAGCATGCTGGCAAGGGACAGGCTTTTCTATTTAGGCTGTGGATGCTTTAGAAAGAAAAGACTTTTTGTTTTGATGCACCTGGAATGTGCTGTCTGCCTGCGCTGACTTTTATTTCACTGTTATCGCACTGATCGTTTATATCTGCCTGGAGTTGGCCACACACCTATCAATAATTTGATATGACAAAAATCATAGGATTGAATAAGAACCACAGATCATAATACAGATTGATAAAATGCTCATTTTTAATAGATCATTTCTCATAGCTCGTATTTCAAATGGATACCACATCATGTTGCATTGTTAGATATTTTAATTGACTACCTTTTCCACCTAAAATGATTACAGATTCGATACATGTATGGCCACCTTTATGGGGTAAGAATAGTTAAAAGAATGAGATTGTTTTCTTTGCAGTTCATAGCAAAAGAATCTTTTGTTGCCAATCTCAAGATGGAATCCCATGTTGACCAGAAGTGTGTTTCTCTTTGCAGCTCCTTCTTCCAGAGTCTGTGCGTGTTGGGGTATTGTATCCTGCCCCTAACGGTGGCCATGCTGGTCTGCAGATTGCTGCTTTTGGCAAGTATGAGCCTAGTGACGTTCATCCTGCGTCTGGTCGTGGTCACGATTATGTTTGCTTGGTCTACATTTGGTAAGTACTGCAGCTTAATTTTATAGAACCCAAAATACTAGATTGTAAAAGCTTTGAACAGCAGACACTGTTTCTATCTGCAAGAAGGGGTATTAATGTGATTGTTAAGCTAAACGTTTTTTTTTTGTTTTTTTTTAACTAACAAGTTATACTTACCTACTGTGCAATGGTTTTGCACAGAGCAGCCCCAATCCTCCTTTTTTGGACCCCCCACTGACTGTACCCATAGCAGTCTGCTTGCTTTGGTGGCACTTATGGGGTTCACTCCTGAGCCGCGCTGTGTGTGTCCATTGACAGAGCATGGCTTGGGCATGCACCCCCTCCTGCCCCCCCCCCCCCCTGTTGCTGTGGTTGACAGCAGCTGGAGCCAGTGGGTCCTACTGCTGTCTCCAAGCCAATGAGGAGGGAGAGAGCCGCTACTCTCGTGCACAGCGCTGGGTCAAGATTAGGCTCAGGTAACTACAAGGATGGGGGCTGGCATTAGGGTAAAAAAAAAACTACTAGAACTACTTTAAAGGATAAGTTCACCTTTTGTAACATGTGATACCTGTATTCAGCGCTTAACACGTTACATGTTACTGTTGCAGCAGACCCCCACAATCCCCTATTGTGACAGCGAGGTGGGGATCCTTTCCCCGCATCCGCTGTCACAAATTTAAAAAAACACGGCCGTGCAGAGCTCTGCCTACCCAGCCGTGTCATTCATTTCCAGAGTTCTGTGAGTGGGAGACCTACAAGTACCAACAGCCTTTGCGGCTGTTGGCTTGTAGTTCTCAATGAACTACCAGGGCACTGATGAGCTCTCTAGGTAGTTAATTGATGCTTCCTGTCATTGCCTTGCTGTATGGGGTAGGTGCAGACAGCTACACTGACAGTCTGCAGGAGCCTTGCATTTCACCCCTGACTCCTGGTAAAAATAATAAATGCAAACTTTGTATACCTGCAAAAAAAGGCGTGCATTTATTATTATTTTTATTTTTTACAAAGGCGAACTTCTTCTTTAACCACTTGCTATCCAAAGGATTCCCCCCCCCCCCCCCCTTCCTGACCAGGCCATTTTTTGCAATACGGCGCTATGTTACTTTAACTGACAACTGTGCGGTCATGCAAACTGCACCCAAATGAAATTTTTGTAATTTTTTCCTGTGAATAGAGCTTTCATTCGGTGGTATATGATCGCCTGTGCGTTTTTTTGTTTTTTTTTGTTTTTTTTTTTTAATGTTTTGTGCTATAAACAAAAAAAGACCAACAATTTTGAGAAAAAAACAATATTTTTGACTTTGTTATTAAACATGTCAAGTAAGAAAATTACAAAAATCTAATTTCATCATAAATTTAGGCCGAATGTATTCTGCTACATGATTGACAGCTGAGGCAGCGAATGACGGCGCAGGTAGGGCGCGCGTGCCCCCTACCTGGTACTGCACAATCACATATATATATGTGTGATTTTTTTTTTTTTTTTTTTTTTTTTTCACACCTGTGCCGCCCTGTAGCAGTATTTCTGCTATAGGGCGGCATGGAACTGGTTAAATAAGAACCTCCGTTGTGTTAATAAAAAAAAAAAAAAAGTCAGCAGCTTAAAATGCAACAAGTACATGTAACACACTTGATTGGTTCCCAGTCCTGCCACTTCCTCTCCTAATATGAGCTCTACTATATGGATTATTTATGAACTACTTGACTGTCCCTTTTTTATATGCAGCCTTTATGCAGATATTTTTTTTGTTTTGTTTTGCAGCCTCAACTGCCTTTTTAGCAGAAAGTCAGCCACCAAACCGCAGAGCCCTGGCCGTTTATCCAATATTCCTCTTCTACTTTGTCATCAGCTGGATGATTCTGACCTTCAATCCTTCTCCATAGTTCTGGGGTTTGAAGGGTTCTATTTTCTAGTTGGATGGACTTGATTAAGCTTGGGACAAGGAGCTGTGAAGGATCACCTATGTACAGGTGTCTAACTGACCAAAGTCACCAGTGCTGAATGGAGCTGCCCAGACACCGGGCCTGTGCTTGCTATGTGGCGTATAGTACTTTGTATATAACCCCGCATATAGTTACTGATTTCTCTTCTTCCGCAGCTATAAAGGCTGTAGGTGGGTATATTCTTACTTTAAGAATTGCCAGGGCAAGGGATTAGTCCGTGATCAGTTTTGTCCTGCTCTACTATGAGTTTACATGAGTTATGCAATGCGTATTTCACTACTGACAGAGATTGGCATCTTCTTATGTTTAAACATTTTTTTTTTTTTCATTTGAACATGCTGCCAATTGAAAAGGGTTCCATCAGGTCCTAGTACAGTGGAAGGGGTACTTTGGTGGGTGCCTGATGATGCTCTTAAAATGGACCTTGCACTAAGGTCAACATGAGCTGTGGTCTCTGAAGAGTGATCTGCATTCAGATCTCTCTTCAGAGAGCATTTGACAGGCATTGAGAAAGATATACTAAAACTGGAGCACCCAGAATTTGGTGCAGCTGTGCATGGTAGCCAATCAGCTTCCAATTTCAGCTTGTTCAATTAAAGTGTTACTAAACCCAGGACCCTGCATTCACTATATCCGCTCTCCCCGGACCCTGCATTCACTATATATCCGGTCTCCCTGGACCCTGCATTCACTATATCCGGTCTGCTCGGACCCTGCATTCACTATATCTGCTCTCCCCGCACCCTGCATTCACTATGTCCGCTCTCCCCGCCCCGCATTCACACCCTGTGCATTCACTATGTCCGCTCTCCCCCCCTGTATTCACTATGTCCGCTCTCCCCGCACCCTGTATTCACTATATCTCCCCGGACCCTGCATTCACTATCCGGTCTCCCAGGACCCTGTATTCACTATGTCCGCTCTCCCCGCACCCTGCATTCACTATATCCGGTCTCTCAGGACCCTGTATTCACTATGTCCCGCTCTCCCCGCACCCTGTATTCACTATATCCGGTCTCTCAGGACCCTGTATTCACTATGTCCGCTCTCTCCCCGCACCCTGCATTCACTATATCCGGTCTCCCCGGACCCTGCATTCACTATATCTGGTCTCCCCGGACCCTGCATTCACTATGTCCGCTCTCCCCGGACCCTGAATTCACTAGGTCCGCTCTCCCCGGACCCCGAATTCACTGTATCTCATCTCACACAGAACATGGAAATGCAATTATTTTAGTAAATATAAACTGTTAAATACCGTTTCTCTCAGCAGTATATATCAGTCTTGTGACTTCTATCAGTGTCCAACTGAGCACTGGTTAAAGCTTGTAGGATGAGTTTTTATTCACCTCTAGGAGGATGCAGAACCCCTCACCTCTGGACAGTGCTGATTGTCTCTGTGCTAATTACACGCACTCTCCCAAGCATAAAAAAAAACCTCTCTAGCAATACACACCAAACTGAGCATGTGTAGAGTGACTCCAAACCTCTGTTCTATCAGGAGATATTTAGGAGACAATGGAAGAAGGGGAGGATCAGAGAAGACAGGATCAAACATCCTTTTTACACCATGTGGAGAATTAACCCCTTAGGTCCCACAGTGAGTATAACAAGCATGCTTTACTGTATATACAGACTGATTTTACTACTGTGGGTTTAGTAACACTATAAGCTTTGATAAAAAACCCGGAAGCTGATTGATTTCTATGCAGAGCTGCACCAGATTTTGCATGGTGCAGTTTTAGTTAACAACCCTCATTGTGTCACCTTCTCATTGCTTGCTTTAACCCCTTGATCATTGCACTAGCACACTGCAACCACGTATATTGTGGGGTGCTTGCACAACTGCCCCCTTCACTTCAATGGATCAAAGTCGGTGGGTGTTACACCTGCTGAAGGCAGTAGGGGATCTCATTCCTGCCATGGCATATGTACACCCTGTTGCTGCCTCTGCAGCTAAAGAGGTTAGCGGAGGGTGTGTGTTGGGGGGGGGGGGGGGTAAAAGTGCAGGTCAACCTAATGTGTGACTAAGCCCTAAACGGCTTGCTTAGTACATAAACCCCCCCTTTACAAATGGCCACCCGATATAAAAAAGGAGTTTGACTATATACTGTATTTACCATACACAACATTTCCTTCTCACATGATTTGGGATCCTCACGGGTTCATTTACTAAAACTGGAGAGTGCAAAATCTGATGCAGCTGTGCATGGTAGCCAATCAGCTTCTAACTTCAGCTTGTTCAGTTAAAGGATAAGTTCACCTTTTGGACAAAAATAATAAATGCACTTTTTTTGCAGGTTAAAAAAATTTGCATTTTTGTCCAAAGGAGCCTGGAAAGCATTGCTGCAGCGATCAGTAGATGGCCGATGTCATGCAGGTCTCCTGCAGACCTGTCAGAATATCTGCTTGACATACGGGATGTATGGGAGGTACGGGATGTACAGGCAAGCAGATATACTGACAGGAAGGTTCAATGAACTACCACGGTGCTTCACTGCATTGTGATAGTTCATTGAACACTACAAGCCAACAGCCGCTAAGGCTGCTGGGACTTGTAGGCACTCATTCACAGAACTCTGAATGAGTGACGTGGCCGTGTGGGCAGAGCCGCGCTGTTTTCAATTCTGACATATAATACAGGGAAACTGTTGGAGGGGGGCTGCGGGTGATGCTATGACTATAGGAATATAGAAAAGTGACGGCAGAAAAAGACTGAGTGGTCCATTGAGTCCGCCATTTTATTTTTATTTTTTTTTGTGTGTTTTTGTTTTTTGGAGGGATGTTAACCTTTTTGTCTGAGTATAGATCTATGCATGTCTGAAGCTATTCACTGTTGACTGGCTCACTACCTTTGCTGGTAGTTTATTCCAAGCATCAACAACTCTTTCAGTACAATAATACTTGCTGAAATTAGGTGGAACATGTTACATATTCAAAAGGTGAATTTATCATTTAAGCTTTGACAAAAAAAAAAAACCTGGAAGTTGATTGGCACCAGGGGCAGACTGACCATTTGGAAACTCTGGCACTGCCCGGGGTCAGTAGAGGGCCCCATGAGATGCCCCTGGTACCTTTTTTCATAGGCTTTTTTGAGTTTGGGCAAGGACACAGGGGCCCCATGATCCCCTATTGCCCAAGGGCCCCATGAGTTGTCAGTCCGCCCCTGATTGGCACCCATGCACTTTTGCACTCTGCAGTTTTAGCAAACCTACCCCTCCAAGGTGATCTAGGTGTTCCCTCATTTCACACATTTTATTTATTTGTTTTTACAGGTATCATGGCGAATTTTAAAGTGGGGGGGCACCTGATGAAATAAGCGTACCTTCCCTTTAAGCACAGGGTTCATTTTAAAGAGCATTCCTTTTCAACTTTTATTCATTGATGGCTTACTGTACCCACATAGCGAAGACTCGTTAACCTTTAGAGCGCTGCTAACAAATGGAGAATCTTGCTGGTTAATGAGGAGGTTTAAAGTGTCGATCCGGATAAAAGTGTTGGATAATATGGGGAACAGTTAGAACCCCTGTCAGATTGTTGCTGCTATTTGGGACTCCACTAGAAGGATTTCCCCTTGTTTGTCCCAGCTAGAATAGTTTCACCAGATAGACAAACTACAGCATTGGGGGTTACTTACTATAACTGGAGAGTGCAAAATCTTGTACAGTTTTGTATAGAAAGCAATCAGCTTCCAGGTTCTATTGTCAAAGCTTAATTGAACAAGCTGAAGTTAGAAGCTGATTGGCTGCCATATACCAGATTCTGAGTGCTCCAGTTTTAGTAAATCTCCCCCAGTGGCTTGGTGAGTAAATATAAAATATTATAGAACAAAGACCTGGACAGAGTATTAATCCACTTACCAGCAAATTGTAATACAACAATATATTGGCGCAAATAGACGTATAAAAAAACAGCTCCCACACATTCAAAAGGTTTCAGGACTCCTGGACTTAGTCTAGGTTCACACCTATGCAGGTTGCGTTTGAGGCGTTTCTGCATTGCATTTTTGTACTTGTTTTTTTTGACGCGTTTTTAATTCGTTTTTTGGGTTTCTTTTTTTTTTTTTTTTCTTGTTGCTAGACAGATTTTAAATGCAAAAGGCATAAAAAATTCAGCAAAAACGCACTACATGCTTTTCTGCAGGATTCTCTATAGAACCAAAAACGCAACTTTTTGTGTTAAAAAAAGTCCCTGACCCGTCCCAAAAAATGCACCGCATGAAAACGTGCAGAACCTGTCCTATAGGAAATCATGGTAAATGGACTGTACTGTGTTTCTGCAAAACGCTGCAGAAAACGCTTAGGTGTGAACCTAGGGTAATAAAGATTTAACAACACATCATATGATACCCACAATCTTCAAAGCTGTATGGAGTCCGATTCCCTCAGTTAATAGTATCAATCTCCAAAAAGCAATTAGGGCTCATTCACACCAGTGGAACGTGCGTTATGGTGTGCATACTGTGCACACAGGCCAGCATGCCTTGTTACAATGCATAACAGTGCTTGCTTTTTTTTTTTTTTTTTTAACTTCATTAATATCAATATATTGAAACACAATGCACCAAAGTACTTCACACTATAAACCACATATGTATTAGGCTCCACATTGCATTTCTGTGCGATTCAGTGCGGTGTGTTTTGAATCAATTCATTTTAAATGGTCTCATGCATGCAGCAATTTTGGAACAACACTACAACCGCATCATGTTTTTTTTTTTTGTTTTTTTTTTTACTGTGTGATCTGGTACAGGCAAATGCACTGTGTTTGCGACCTGCATTTGGGGTGTCATTGGGATTGCACTGACATCCTGCTACAGATCGCAAGGGCAGTGTGATTTGAATGCAGTGCAGGAAATGCACACAGATCGTAGTGATTCTAAAAGGTTCATTTTTTTTTTTTTTTTTTTAAAATAACAAATATGGCTATACTTACCTGCT